AGCTCATCTCTGTCTCCAGCCTCATGCTTCTGCTGCCATGGGACCTGGCTCTGCAGGGAGATCCCCGAGGTGGTGGTGGGACCCAGCTGCTGGCCTGACCGATGTCTGAAGCTGGGTGCTGCTGTGCCATGGGAAGCTGTGGACTGGGGGGCCCTGGTGTCCCCACAGAAGAGAGCCCAAGGAGCCAGCTCTGTGCCACGCTCGTGGCTGGTGTCTGCCCGGGGCACCAAGGGCCATCTGTCCCTCCTCCTCTGGCAGGTGGCACAGCCCAGGCTCTGTTTCCGACAGACCAGGCAGGACTGCAGAAGAGAGGGGTGCAGCTGCCTTCAGCAAACCGAGAGCCTTCTGGCATGTGTCAACATGGGGTGTAACACCTCACGGCAGCGAGACTGTGCGCTGCGGACAGATGTGTTGGGTATCGCTACATGGGGGAAGGCACATCTGGATGGTGGGTTGCACCCTGTTCACTCCCATTCTTTCACTCGCAGGCCAGCTTCGTAGCATCAGGAAACAGAACTGACATTTCCTTAGATGACCCCAACTTCTGGCAAAAGTGGGCCAAGATAGCGGAGCTCGATACGGACGCCAAGAATGAAAAGGTAGGACCCAGCTCACGGCCCGTGTGCCCCACAGCTGGTCTCATGCCGCGTGGCATGGTCTCCAGGCGGGAGGTGCGTGCTTCCGCTGGGCTCCTGAAGGGGTCTGTGTTAGGCATCAGGAATTGCTGCCAGGGAAGATGGGCCCATAAGTGCTGCCTGCAGCCCCGATGACTTTAGCCACGTGCTGGGCTGTGTCTGCCTGGTATTTCAGGGTGCTCAGTCTGCGCTCCCAGCTACTCCCAAGCCTGGTTGAGGGGCAACAGTGAGGGCTGGCAGCGCGTGAGGGGAGGAGGGGTGGAACAGCCAGCGCAGTGACGTGCCTGTGAACGCGGCAGGCTGGTGTGATGCCTGTGCGAGAGCTGGAGCCGTGATGGAGTTCCCCATGGCACAGGCAGGGGGGCAGCTGGGGCTGGCACTCTGGCGTGGAGCAGTACTGGGACGGTCCATGCTGCCCTCCAGGTGCCAGCTCTGATCTCCCGGCTCCCTGGCTGTCTCGCTATGCTCAGACACCTTTGTTAGCTCAAGGCACGCCAGGGCCAAGCTGCCATGTGCCCTGGCAGGGCACAAAGGGGCCCCAGTGCCAGTTTTTGCTGTGGCTGGGCATTGGTGGGGTGAGCAAGGCATCTTCCCACGCTCAGGCAAAGCTGTGTAACCGTTTCCCAGCCCAAACCCAAGTCCACGTGAGCCCTGGCACCCTGGGCAGAGGGGAGCATTTGGCCTGGCAGCTCTGGAGGAGGCCTGGCGAGCTGGTGTGAGTTTGTATGCTCCAGCCCTTCAACCTCTGGAGCTGGCAGTGCTGGGCAAATTCATTTTACTGCAGCTCTCCACCTCCCACCACCCCAGGTCTTGATGGCCAGGGAGGCAGTGTTTGTCATAGTGAAGCCCAGCAGGGTGTCCTGGCTCTCCTGGCAGCAGGCAGAGAGGAAGCCCTGCTGCATGCGACTGCGCCCGCTGGCCTGGGCTCCCTCTCCTCTCCCCGCTGGCCCCCAGGCCCTTTGCAGGGCTGCGGCATGCGTGGACCTGTTCAGGGAGCCTTCAACCCAGCATCAAGTCCAGACATTGAGTCACCTAGAAGCAAAGTGGACTTGCGGTTAGTTGAGGCTGGTGGGGAGCAGGTAACATCAGAGCAGGCAGGTCCCTAGGATGGGTCGTGTCACATGGTCCTGCTTAATGCCAAGGTAATAACCATAATAACCATAATAACCACGCTTCTCTGTTCTTATTCATTCGTAACATTAAACGTGTGGGTTCCAGCAGCAGCACGTCACCTAGAAGCAAAGTGGACTTGCGGTTAGTTGAGGCTGGTGGGGAGCAGGTAACATCAGAGCAGGCAGGTCCCTAGGATGGGTCGTGTCACATGGTCCTGCTTAATGCCAAGGTAATAACCATAATAACCATAATAACCACGCTTCTCTGTTCTTATTCATTCGTAACATTAAACGTGTGGGTTCCAGCAGCAGCACTGAGGATTTTGAGGAGCTGCAGTGGCATGGCGGTGCTGAGACACTGCTGGTCAAGAGCCTTGTGTCAGGCACACTGGTACCCTCGCCTCTCACCAGCTTCGTGGATGTGAGGGCACCCCTGGAACTGAGGTCATCCAGGCCAGCTGGCTTTGGCCCTGGCAGGGCAAGGGGTATGGGGAGAGAAGCGCTGGCTTTGGCAACTCCTCCGGTACTTCCTCCTGCTCTTACAGTGTCAAATGCTCCCTCGTGCTGCCTGTGGGATATTTTCCATATCCAACTGAATATTGACCATGTTGACTCGAGCCTGGGGGGTTGTTCAAAGACCATGTGGGTCAGGCTCAATATCCAGGCGTTGCTTTAGAAACAAATCTCAAAGCCAATGCGAGTAGGGGTGAAGGGAGCTGCCCAGGGTTTCTCCTGGCCTGATGGGGCAAGCAGAGACACGTTTAGATGGTGCCACTCCTTCCTCTGCCAGCGTTTGCAGCCCTGCCGTCCTGCCTGCAGGAATGGGAACACGGAGAAAAGCCAAGTGGATCTGGCAGCCCGTCACCACGTCCGGGTGAGGGGGTCGCAGTCTGTAAACGGATGCTGCCAGAGTCTCACCGCTTGCCCTCACTGGCAAGTTGGCTCCTTCCCAGCAGCGGCCGTGGGCAGACGCAGCAGCTGGAGCTCTGGCGAGCCGGTGCTTGGCTTCTCCTGGCCTGGCAGCAGAGGTGCTGGATGTTCCCCACGTGCTTCTGGGAGCATCTCCCAGGGGCAGCATCCTCGTTCTCGGCCCCTGCCTACTCTGCCCACGGAAGGAGCTCTCTCGCTGAGCAGGAGATGAAGCTGGGCAGGCTGGTGACTGCCTGTCGGGAGGCAGGAGCGGACAGATGGGTCCCATCTCCCTGCCGAGCTCGTGGGCTTGGCTGCAACCCGGGTCTCTCCTCCTGGCTCCTCCATGGAGTGCAGGGCGCTGCGGCCGGGTTCGGTGGCCCCGTAGCTCCGCACAGCTCCGTGAGGGAGAATGGGAGAGGGGAGTGTGTGTGGGTACGTGGGTGTCCCACGTGCTCGAAATCCAGGCAGATTTAGATGACATGAATTCATTATTCAGGGCGGGGGGAAGGAGAGAAGGCAGATACGTGCTCTTTAATTTCATATTGCTCCCTCCTGCACCTTCTTGGAAGCTGCCTTTCCTCTTCCAGCCCACCTGTGTGTGTGTCGTGTGTCCGTCCCGTCCCCCCCCCCCAAGAACTCACACCGCCCCCAGCGCAGTGCTCGGCGCAGGCGGTGCTGGGAGGACCAGGAGCGTGATTCAGAGCTGAATCAGCTGCTGGTTGTCAGCAGTTGGAACCCCGAGGGCCTGGTTTTTAGCCTGCCATCGCTCAGGCTGGATTTTTTTGCTGGCCAGGAACTGTCTCATGTGTGCAGTCGAAGCTGCACGGAGGTAATTTGGAGCAGGTATCCCAGTGGGAAGGTGGTGGCTAGCCATGGAGCCAGCAGGGCAGGGACCAGGGGTGTTGGCAGAGCAGGTGGCAGTATGGAGAGGAGGACATACTGTGCCCTGATGGAAGGCAGGTGTTTGTGCCCACACCTGAGCATGTTCTCCTCCCTGTCCCTCGTAGGAGAGCCTGGTCATCGACAGGCCTCGGGTGCGGAAGCAAACCAAACACTACAACTCCTTCGAAGAGGATGAACTGATGGAGTTCTCCGAGCTGGACAGTGACTCGGACGAGCGACCCACGCGCTCGCGGCGCTTCAACGAGAAGACGCGACGGTACCTGCGGGCTGAGTGCTTCCGCGTGGAGAAGAACCTGCTCATCTTTGGGTGAGTCTCACCCCCTCCCAGAGACCATGGCCACAGCTTCCAGCTGCCCCAGCCACTTTCTGTCCGTCCTGCTTGCAGTGTCCCCTCCTTCCAGCAGTGACCTCCCTGGTGGGACCTGAGCTCTAAGCAAACATTTGGGATAGAAGGAGAGTTAGGGGGGCAAAGCATGAGCTGGCAGTTGGCGCTTCCAGAGTCTGCTCCTGCCTCTGCCCTGTTCAGTCCTGTGCTAACCTCTCCCCATCTCTGCTCCTGTAATGTGGGGGCAGAACACCCCTATCCAGGGGAGCTGGCAGGGCCGTGCCGCTGAGCGAGAGATGCTGGCGAGGTCTCTAGCTGCACAGGAGCGTTTACTCTGTCTGTGTTCCTGCTGTTCCAGCTGGGGACGCTGGAAAGATATCCTGACCCATGGGCGCTTCAAGTGGCACCTGAACGAGAAGGACATGGAGATGATTTGTCGGGCCTTGCTGGTCTATTGCGTCAAACACTACAAGGGGGATGAGAAGATTAAGAGTTTTATCTGGGATCTCATCACGCCGACGAAGGACGGCCAGAACCAGGCTCTGCAGAATCACTCAGGTATTGCGTGTTCTCTCTGCCATTGCACCTCTACTTGTCGCCGCTGTGCCAGCCTACGGCACCACAACTCCCTCTGCACGGAGATGGTGGCTGCCAT